AATACACAAAATAATGTTCTTTTTAGCAGCATCATATGACCCCTTTAAAACCTACCTTGCTAACAAATTGCTAAATATGAACTACAACTACCACAAGGACGTGAGTTTATTTGCTTGACGCATTTGACATCGGTTGTAGTCCATATACAGCAGCTTGTAAATTTAACCTAAAATGTAATTATTTTGCGCATTTTTTAAATAAACTTAGCTTATAAACTTTAACAAATAACATTTGATACTGTACTCTTTTAAATTCATGCTATTTTGATATCAACATGATTCAAACATTTGTTGATTTTAGGTAAAAACTTTAATAGCAGGATTTTAAATATACTGTAACTGGTAGTTTCAAACTTTCTGACATGTAAAACTTGGTATAGGAAGACAAACTGAGAAGCACTTTGTTTGGTGATGTTTTCAATGTTTACTAATATACAAATGAAAATAGCAATGCAAACCTGTAGCAAAATACTAAGAATACTAAGATAGAAGGAAAGACAAAGAAAGACATTTTAAAATCAAACACAGTCACAAAAATAGATTTGTAAACATTGTCAAATGGAAATTAAATATGTGTGGACAACCAAGTGTATAAACAAACTCTGACGTTCAAACATGTCTATATGCGATAATGTAGTGCAGGTGTTGACATTGAAAAAATGACTAGCAAAACATGTTCTGTAATAAATAACTAAATAAATATGTCTTATTTCTGAATAACTGACTGGAAAGTCATCAAAAAATTCACCTTATCCTGCTACCATATATTTATTTTACAATACCATTTCATTAGTTGATTGTGAATATTTTGTAAAGCAAACCAAGAGGGTAAATACAAACAATGTTTTTATATTCTACACTCCCAAACAAACTTCATGTGCACCACCCCTTTAAGGAAATGCACTCAAACTATATTAAGATTGTTTCTTAAAAGTGGATTTCGCCAAAGTGTTGACAGGCTTGTTTTTGCCTACAGGCCTAAATTCATCCAGCCCAGTGCCAGCAGCAAGACAGCGGCAACGCTGAGAGACTCAGGGCCAAGAGAGGCTTTACCTAAACATAATACAAAACAAAGAGAAAGATCAGCAGGAATACCAGTGACATCTGTGGAACTGCATCTATGAATATGTGAAAGGTATTTCAATTCTTATAGTGAACATTTACTTTAAATTATGCAGAACTTCAGATACCATTTTGTCATTATCATCAACATGATTAGGGTAGGAACATGATGAATGATTAATAAAAGACAGTATTCACCTTGTACACTGATCTGTGATATGGGTCCATCACCTCCCTCACAGCGGGCTCGCACCTCTATGACGTAATCGCCCGTCTCTGGCATGGGAAAATCGATGTAGTGCCTGCCTGTGGTGTAAAGCTTCCCATAACGCTCTCCTTCCTTCCGGAACAAAATCTGAGAGGAGAAAAATCCAAATGGTTATACATATTTCCAAAACATCAATACACACACACACACACACACACAATCACACACACACA